GACAATGATTAACACTAGAACGCCCATAGAGGTCATTTTGACCGTTTTGTGATTTTTATCCTTAATAAAACAAACTGCATACAATTTATTTAAAAATAAATTAGGTCTTAACTTTTAATTTGTCCCATAAAAATTATTTTTTGCAGATTTTTTAATTCATATTTGAATTCAGAACCATTTTTAAGTATAAAATTTTTAAAAAAAACAGTAACGGTCAAAATGACCGCTTTGGGCGTTCTAAGTCATGAAAATTCCCGGGCGTTCTAGTGTTAAAGTTGTTACTGAGACCGTCTGACGGGTTGTAAACAGTGAGTAAGGCAAATGCCAATCCATATTTTACAATTATCTCTAATAAAAATTTTTATTCACATAAAATGGTGTAGAAACAAATTCAAATGTTCTTAAAAAGCTTTTTGATATACAATATTTCTTGTACAATATAAAATCTCAAATTTAATAAAAGAAATCTCTAAAGATCAAACGTTTATATTCGTATTGAAATTCTAAATGAAAAACATTTTATCCTGAAAACAATTTTAATATTGTACCAATATCATTAGCATTCAATGATCCAATTCCACCACCCGAAGCTGCATTCAATATTTTCATGGCTAATTGAAGATTACTTGATGAACTTCCACCATAACCACTAGCAGTTATCATATTCAACAGCATGTTTAATTTACTTGATTGTGAACCTGATCCACTATTTAACATTTGTAAAAATGAATTTAATTTAGATGAATCAGAACCGCTTTGTGACGAAAATATTTGTTTAATTAAATCTAATTTACTTCCACTACCACTATTTTGTGATGATGATGATGATGATGAATCGAAAAACGAATTAAATATGTCGAGGAAATTTAATTTTGATGCTTTCGTCGTTGTTGTTGTGCCACTATTAAAAAAAAATCGACGATGTTTACTAAAACGTTTTTCTAAATTACGATTAAAAAATTTGAGTAGACGTTGTTGAAGTTCTAAATCATTATCATTATCAGTTCCATCTAATTCTCCAAATGAATCTATTTTTCTCGATGATACATTGATGACAATAACTGATAAAAACAAAGAGAGAAAAAATGAAAGAAAAACAGTGGTGGTTTACATGTATCTTAACTATATCTAAGTAATATGAACAGTTCAAATTCCTATAGAAGTTCATTTCGATCAAAAAAAAGGAAGATTTTAATCTTACATAGTATTGAAAAAACGATAAACGTTAAATTGCGTCGTCGATTTTCTTCCATAGTTGCTCGATGATTAAATTAATGTCAATGAAAGGCTAAGAATTTGACAACAGTACCATATAATATATGCAATGATTCTTTTTATTTTGTAAAATATTACTTCTTTTTTCTTTTGCATATACTGTATATGAATAAGGAATAATCAGAAAAAGGAAAAGAAAATATACAGTATCATTAGATGCACTGTGGACAAAACATGAAGAATTACGCAAATACACGTGTATATTGTTTGATACGCCAACGGAATAAAGCTCACGTATTTTCGTTTTTCTTCTTCCAGCAAGAAGTTTTGTTTAATAAAGTTTGAATGAATATGATCCTGTCTGTAACAGAATTATTTTAACTGTATCGTGTTCTTCGTATATTGAATGACTAAACAATATGCATGACATGATACACCTGTATGAGGAATGATGATTAAGGACTCTTGTCAGGAATGTATTTTCATTAGATTAAACCGAATGTGTAAATAGTTTCCAGTAATAATATTGAGTTTATATATGAGGAGATTCAGGAGTTATGTGCATAATAAGGGCTAAAACGACGCTCATATTGTTTAAACGATTTTTCCTTTCACCTTGATGTTACCAAATTCGAGATAATTTCGTTTTATTGAGAAAACGTATGGTTGAAACACCACAGAGCTCAGTTTGTGAACTTTTGTTTCCTTTAAAAAGATAATCTTGTCTCAAGAAGTCGAAAAATTTCTTCTGAGATTTCTGAAAATCTTTATTATTGTTTCTTAAAGATATATAAAGATGTTTTGTCATAGGTTTTTTCGGTAAAGAGCCGTGCGCTATATATTCTTCGATATATAGTAGTGGATGATATCCATGTTATACCTGATAGGTTTGCTAGCTAATATAGAAGGTGGCGATCACTAAATTTTTAGTAAAACTCGATGAGCCGAGTTTTCTATGACAGTAATGTCTCGATAAGACTGTCACCTCTCTCTCATGCCATTTCTTTGAAAAATCTTTTCATGTCTTAAAGTAGAAAATAAGTTATAGAAAAAAAAGGGTGATTTTCTAGAGATGCCTATAGGCGCTTTCTTTTTTTGTCGAAAATGAGATATTCTATAATGGAAATATTCGGCGCTCATTTTTCAAAAAATATAGACAATTTTTGTAAATAATTGATCAATTTCTCATAAAATGCACGTGGATTTTTCAGAAAATTCCTATTCTCAGATTCGAAACACTCTGAAGATATTCTAAAAAATCGGCATTGGTTTTCCAGAAAATCGACATACATTTTCTGAAGATTTTTCAAATAGAAAATCCACGGTGAATGCCTAAACGCTTGATAATCCAACAGCCCTTTTAGATCCGCCGGTGCACCTTCTAACATTTGGTTAAACTAAAATTAATTATGAGAGTATGTAATAAGATTTTTTTAACTTGAATCGTGTACAGTTCTCTCACTTCAAAGATCGTTGCATTTTAAAAAGACTATTCTTTTCACTTTCGACAATTTATCTTCTACAACTGGTAAAATCCACGCCACATTTTTTTTTTATCTTACTTCCATATCTGAGAGAAGATCTTCTGGTTTACCGATGCTCGTTAACAGTTCTCGTAGCCTACGATAAACAGAACGTTTGAAACAATTCGATTCGAGTCAAATATTAAAGTGGACTTACGCATCTCTACCAATTGTCCCTTTCTTTTCTTCATCAAAGTTCTTGAAAGCATTCATTAACACATCTTCGGCATCCGTACCTTTAAAAAAGTACATTATATAAAAGTTTCTCCATCGTCTATATGGAACAAAGACACCTCGAAATATCCTCAGATACAAAGACACAAATGCACGGGAAGCAGTTGCTCATCTATAATTATCGCCTAGTCGCTCGCCGAACATTGACAATAATTTGGTGAAATTTGGTGGACCTCCCGTTTCATCTATCTGTCGCTTTCAGTTCTGCATCTTCAGATGCTTTGCCTAGAAAACCGCGATAGATATTTATTTCCACATTAATCGATGCCTTTGCCTACCTCACCTAACGACGAAAAAACTTCATTGAGATCTTCTAAACTATATTTTAGAGTTTAACTAAAAAACTTTGAGCTAAAAACTCAAACATCCATTGAGCAACTTTCATCGTTTCAAACTCTAAAATATAACCCAAACTTTTTTTTAATGAGGCTTGATCGTAGCCCGCAAATTTCTGATTAAAATGAGACATTTTCCAGCTCTACATGATCTTTATTTGCAAAGGTATAGAATTTACAAGAAAAGCCGTGAATATATTTGATGCATTTCATGCGACTGCTTGTGTCCTACAGGAGGTATGACGAGGTATGTGTCCGCCCATTTCTCTTATGACTTTACTATAAAAGATGTGTTGTTTTATTTAGAATAATCACAACACAACCGGGAAGACAGTGATTTTATAATGCATCTAAATTTTTCTTTTATGTTACATTCTTTTTTTTTGTTACATTTTGCGGAAATGATTGTCTAAATATACAATAAATATCTTCGCAGCACTATTGTCACTTAGGAAGTGAGACTGTGTTTCTAACAAAATTTCTTTAAAAAAAAATTTTAGATGATGATTTCTTTGCATCGTTTCGTAAAATTAATGACTAAGGAGTGATGGAATGGGAATAGAGAAGCATCACTTTCAGTTAACTGAAACGGATCGAAACTGAAACTGGAAAACTTGAACCTGTCAAAAACTGATGTTAGTTTACGATTTTAAATTGAAAAGCCTACATCTAAAATCACTTTTAAAAGGTGTTAAATCCATTTCTGCGATTACCTCAGAAATTCGGTCTACTCGATTATAATTTATTTGAAATAAAATTTCCCTATCCAGTTTCTTCTAAAGTTCTCTAAAGTCTGTAACTGACACAAAACGCTTTCCGGAAACCCTTAGGGCATCACAAACTAAAAACTTACATGAAAGTTTCGAGAAATTAATAAGTCATTGGATATGGTCCAGATATCATTCTGGTACGCTTATCATCGAAAGATCGATTCTTGTGGGAGACGAGAATCAAGCTTACCTGTCCACAGCCTTTAAAGGGTTTTTGTTCGTCAAAAGAAATCTTTTTTAATGGTGTAGCCAGATTATGTTCCAGTTTAGTTCACTTGATGCTAAGAAACCTTTGATTGAGACTTAAAAGATCACTCTGTGTCTCCTTTGTCATTTTCTAAATGATTATGAAATGTATGAAAGAGTTTTTCCTTGCTGGAATATGACTGTATAACATAATACGTTAGACTTGGTTGAGACTGCATTTGAGGAGACGTACAAAGAAAAAAAAAACAGTCATTAAAGCGATGGAACTATTATATCATCCAATTTAATTTTTTATTTCCTGGTCATAAAACTTTATGTTCTGATAGATAAATCAACGCTCATAAATTTATTGGTCAATTATTTTTTGCATGATTCATTACATAATCTGAAAGTTGTTATACCCACTAAATATTTAAAGTCTACAGAATTTTCTCAACATTATGTAAATGGTGATGCAGCCGATCAAATGAATATATATGAGTTTATAGACCAAAGTACTAAAAACCGTTATGTATTTTTAAATACAGTTAGTATGTTTGATGGAAGTGAAAGTTCTGACAATTTATTTATGAACACAATAGGCAAGAATCTTGGTAATATAGCAAAATTTGGTGATATAACAAGTATTATTATTCTGACTAATGGAAGCGACGGACGTGTAAATCTAAATATGCGGTCTTTGTGGAATACATTGTGAGTTTTTCAGCATACTGGCTGCGTATGGAACATATTATTCATAATAATCTTATTGCTGTTGTAACAAATTCTAACCGATTTAATTCAACTTTTAATTATAACTATTTACAACCTTATTTGAATGGACATATATATACATTATTCATAAATAATTCAGCATTTTCCACTGATCCAGCTGAATGGAATCACGAAACAATGAAAATACTTGAGTCTGATTGGCACGACTCAATGAAAGAATTGAAACAAATGATGGAAATAATTGATACATTTACAAATCAAAAAGAAATAACGGACGCAGAATTTTACGCTGATTCAGAATATCACCTTTAAAATTCGATTAACTTGCGTCGTCGTTGAGAAAAGCGAAAAAACCGAAAAAACGTGCCAAAAACGGCTAATTTTGTAAAAATCACTTTATATTTTGTTACAACAGCTATTTGGAACCTTCATAGTTAGTTATTCTGACTCATCGTGAAAAACTGCATCGATCTACGTAAATTTTAAAATTTTCCAATGAATAAAAGTGATCCACAAATCCACACCGATCGATATAATAATGCGTTTTACCTCGACTCGGGAAAAATGCCATCAGATTTTTTTCGTAATAGGCACAAACTTAATTCTTTCGCCATTCGATTCCCCATGAAATTTGCTACAAACGAATTTTTCGAATTTTTTTCCCTTTGCTGAATTATGAGGTTTTTACCGAAAAAATCCAGTTTTTGGCCCAATCGACGTAGCGATTTTTTCGACAACGGCATTCATGTTTATAATATCCATTGATTTTCTCGTGAATTACTCCGCTTTATATGTCATTTGTTAGAGAATTTCACGAGCTTCAAAATGATTTATACTGATTACAAAAACGAATCTTTTCCGGAAAGTAACTTTTTTTCTTCTTGATGTTTTAGGTCAAAAACGAAATCGTTCTTCACTATTAATGTGGCTAGAGGCTAACACAGCCGCATTTTTGATATTTTACTTTTCAAATTAATGGTCAGCGTCAAAAGCCTAAAATTCGAAAAAGTCTCATATATTGAATAAAGATATTTTTCTAACCACAAACTTAGGCAGAATATCAAAAAACGCACTCTATTAGCCTCTAGCCATATGTGTTAACGTCAGTTTAAGTATCTGTGAATTTGTCTTTTTATCGGAAACTAATTTGGAAAGTCAGCTTTTCAAGGTTTTCGGAAAACTGTCCTAAAAGCCTCTATACCCCTTCGATGAGGACTAATGACATTGGATCCTGATATCAGATACTGTGAGCTATCTGATGATGTGTCTAGCTCAACATCGACTTTTTGTAAAATATGATATGGTTTTGATAGAGAGGGGCGGAGAGGCCTTAAGTAGTAAAACATATCTAGAGTTAGATTGTGGATGATTTTTAACTATAACCTCGTTGGATCTTATCGAAAAGTTGCTTTCTTCAGCCAGCGTCATCTTTTTCTACTATGAAAACAATTCATAGTACGTGACTCTTAATCCTTTTGGTATCCAGTGCGGCCACGATGAAACAAACCACTCACTACCGCACAATCCACCAAAGCCAGTGGAAGGAGCAGCATCTGTGTGTAGTTGTAGGTCATAAGCTGGTGTAATTTCAGAATCATAAAAGGTGGAAGAGCCTTCACAATTTCTAAGAAGTCTGGCAACATTTCTAGATCTAAACGACAGTCATTGGATATTGGTACCCTAAAATGTAGATCTGCAGAATAAGCTAATGTAATTAAATAAGATAAAGAACGACCAGGTGGAATGACTCGGGAAGTGTGACTCAAATAGCCAATAACACTTAACATTTCACGTTTTCAACATCTCTTTTTAACCATACATTTCTCTGTTGTTGCTAAAATTCTCAGACATTTTTCCTCCGATAATCTAACTATCATAGAATAACTATCAGTAATCGTACATTCTACACGACACGGGGAATCGACTTGGTGTTCACCTTATGTGTGCCATTTACACACTTTATTTTTTACAGTGAGTAGTTATTTTTTATCTTCGGAGTTAGCCTAATGGGTGACTAACCGAGATGCCAACCTTCCGTTCCTACTCGCTTATGATAACATAGTGCTAGCTTCACTAGTAAGTTGGAGCTAGCTAACTAGATGAAAAAGTACATTTAGCCAGCTCCATCAGATGAATAACCGCTTGATTATAATCAACGGAACTAGGTTTTCTGCATAGAGTATTTTCACTTGGGCGTTCGGTGCCAATCAATGAAATCTGACTCGCTGTAAAAAATAAAGTGTCTAGACACAATAAGTATTTGGATGGGAGAGACAACGAATTGCACTGCGACTACAATCAACATCGTAACCGAGTGCACTTCCAGCTTTGATATCAAATCAGGAAATACCATTGGAGACAAGAAGGCGAAATCGTATTGTAACAACAGAAATGTAATCTGACAGACACAGGACCGTCATTTATTACTCCAAGAAATTTGATTCGTCTGATTCTACATCGTACACACACATATTCATTCAGTTTACAAGTAGCGTTCACCTCCGATTCACTGACTCTTGACTGAAATTGAGCGCACAACAAGCGGTTATTTGATAAGACTAGTTTACGGAGTGTTAGCGCGACCTTGATAAAATACGCGGCTGAATAATTTAGAAGGATCCACTTTGTTCTCCTGAGTGACATGTTCAAACCCTGTTTCTGTCTTGTCAGTAGCTCAAGCGAGGACGGAAACGGGGCCCTCTGAGGTTGTTTTGTCTTTCGTGCGAGCAGCGTTGAACAGAATGAACTCATTCTATTTAATAGTCCACAACTGTCCGTGGCTTCCCTAAATGCGGCCCAAAATTAAGCCAATTAGTATAAAAGTGGACGTAATTTGGAACGGGTAAATTTGTATGATTCTGCGTTTCCAACTTGTGGGACTTATTTGAAAAGCAACCGAGTGCCTTATGTTGCGGCACCGATAAAAGCACGTCATTATTGACATTAAAGGATGAGTACGGGCACAATATATGACAATTCAAAACATGTAGGCTTCGTAAACATAAATCTGATGTTGTTTGTCGCCTAATCTTGGAATATGAAAAATACCAAGAGACTGACGTCTCTTCAACAGGTGCTATTTCACCCCCTATTAGAATAAAGAAAGTGTTAGAAAGGATCAGCAGCAGGAGGTGAATGAACGATTGTTTATATCGAACTGATGATAAACATTTTGGCCATCGAAGGCATCATACAGCAACGGCTATCAACAAAAATTAACGCATTAAAATTAACATTCAATTTTTCTTCCTTTCACAATCTTCACAAGTATGAGCTGTGCACAAATATTGACAGTCACCACGCGAACAGAAAGAAAATCGACAAACAAACTTTCATAATATTATACTTTAAAACTACTTTGGTCGTCATTTTCTACAGTGACGAGAAGGTATAGGTAGCTATTTTGGTGTGCTTTCATTCGTCCACATACAGCTAAAGCAGCACTATGACTGTGCTTCGAACAGCGTCTCGGCTCCTTTGTGTAGCTAGATACATGATCTCTTCTACGGTTTTCCCATATCACAGGAGATATTATCAGACAAAACGACTAATTCGTCTAAACTACGCAAAATAAATTTGACGAATGTGATAGTAAACCACACTTGCTTGCATCAGCAATTTTCTTTCACATTAGGTTACTTAGATCTTACTTCACTCATGTCTTCGACTTACAAAAGCAAACCTCTTCACCAGACAGGAAACACGACATCCCGATCAATAATACGAAACCTCGAGACATTCACTCTGCTATGGGTCGACGCTAATGTCAATGCGACGAAAGATAATCTTGACACACAACTCAAATTGAGAGGTGCCATCAATTATCTGAAGACATTTGAAGATGCCGATGAGTGTGAACGCTGCATTCAAGAGACGAAAGATGAGAAAGTGGTGTTGATCGTGTCTGGTCGACTGGGACATGAGATGGTGCCGAAAGTGCATGATCTCCGTCAGATGAGTGCCATTTATGTGTACTGCATGGATGAAGAGAGTAACAAAAAGTGGTCACAACACTACACAAAAGTGAGCTCATTCTGCACAATGTGT